CTGATTTCAATTGAGTTATTTCAGATTTACACCTACATGAAAGGAGAAACAGGCTCATTGCGTATAACAGTGAGGGCTACCATTTTGGTTTTATCTTTCATTTGTATTGATTAATATTTGATATTTTTGTGTTTCCCTTGTAGCTCTGATCCAGCATTGGGTGTTAGTACTGCATATTAATAGAAGTCCATAGAGAAATATCATATTATGTGATGTGATATGAGATCCTATTTGGAAAACTGGGATTTGTAATGTATATTCAGAGTACCAGAGCCTAACAAAAATATTGGAATAAATATCTGCTGGATTAAAAAAAAAATCTCTTTAGGATTGGAAAAATATTGGATTCTATCTTCGATTTCGGTTTTGTTAACAAACACCTTTCACACACTTTCAAATATACTTACCGTTTGAACCCCACCTGGCATACAATAGTCAATCTTAATAGTCCCACACTGAGGATAGCCAGTGACTGGATAAGGAAGCTTTGAGAAAGACATTGTTCCTTCTGGCTGATTTCCTTGTATGAGTCCATAGAATGTATTACAGACAGGACAGGCAGGCTTATACTTCATTGCCTCTTGGATGCATGCTTTGCAAAATTCATGTTTGCACTTTTGCAGTACTTCTTTTTGATAGATTTTATCCATGCAAATGGCACACTCATCTTTGTCTTCCACTCCTCCTGCTAACTTTGGACTAGGTTGTTCTTTGGGAGGAACTCTATTCATTTTCCTATCATCATCTGCATCCTGGGAAGTTCCTGTAGCACCTCTCCAGCTGGCACCATAAGTAAGAGCTGTCCCTTCTTTAATCTTTACAGGGCCTTCAATGTAAAGAAAGTTCCTGATGTGCTTTTCAGCAGCATGCAGAAGATCTGGTAAACCTTTTAAACTGAGTTTCTCCTCCTTTTTCTTAAGTATTATACCTGGGTTTTCCAGTTGTAGTTTATTAAAGTGTTTATTCAGCTGTTTTTTCTGATCACCTGAAAGTTTCAAGCAGAGGTCTTTTTCAGTTATCATTGCTGAGGCCTTCTGAAATGCACTAATGAAGCTTTCATAAGCATGTGCAGACATATCTGAATCTTTGTTCTTAGGTTTAAATATGATGCATGCTCTCTGGTTCTGTGGAGAGCCCTTGTTTTCTATTATGGTATCAAATGTTTGATTTATCAGTTCAATTTCTTTACTTAATATTGTTTCCAAGAGTTTAAGCCTAACACAATCAACTTCAATTCCATTCCTATATGTGTAAGCTTCAGATGTTATTTTCACAGGTTTTTCAAGTGGGCTGTTCACATTTTTTTCATCAAGAAATTTTTTCGCAGCCAAAATCTCATGTGCTGGACCACGCAGTATTACTGTACTTCCTTCATTTTTGGCAAGAAGATTCCTATACCTGGTATTTAATTTCTGTAGTGTTTCATTTAACTGGGAACTGTTTGTCAAATAAACTTTTTCTTGTTTTAAATCTGCTATTCCTTTCTGAAAATCAGTGATAAAAGACTGCTGAGCTCTCTCTACTAATCCAGAACTCCCAACAGATATGAAGTATACTGAAGTGAGTCCATTGTCATGCTCTTTGCTTTTTATCTTTACGTTGAAACGTTGCTGTAATTCTTTAATTTGTTCTTCATAGACATGGTTAAAGTATTCATAGAGAGCTGACGGAACTTCAATATTGTTCACTTCATCCAAACCATTCTCATTCATATCTTCCAAATCATTCTTTCTTTCAAAGTGTGAAAAATCAGTGTGTTGGTCATTTTTTATAAGGAGTTCATCAAAATAGTGATACACTTTTTCAATATCTGCATAGTCTCCTGTCACTTTCTCGATGCTGTGGTCACTAGAATTTTTTTCTATTTTTAAATTTGGCCACAGAATGGTCACTTGTTGTCTTTCCTGTTTAGTGAACAGGTCGGTATTCAAGGTTGCAGACACGTGGAGAAAAATCTGAAAATGAAAGAACAAGCAGAGATCTAGCAGTTTTCCTAAAATTCTCAGCTTGTTCTTTCAAATATTTAATTTAAAATATCTTTCTACACTAGTTCTCAATTTGCCAAGATTATTTTGTTCTTACTATATATAAACACTCTTGCATATAGTCTTCTTTGAACTCACGTATACTGATATACTGCCATTAGTATCCCTATGTACACATGCATGAGAACCAATCTTGCTCCCAATGAAATCTGTGGAAAAACTCCCATCTTCTAATGGGAACTGGAGTGGGGCAATGTAGAGGCTATCCACAGCTCTCTTAAATTGAGACCCAGTGCACATTAGCACAACATAAAAAGCAACTCATGATCTACTTTGCTGGTACGCATTATTCCTTATCCCACAGGAACTAAGGACCATCACAAACCTCATGACTCCAAGTGCAAGGCACGCTTCTTTGACCTGCCTTCCCTACCAAAAACAGACAGAGCAGTACAGACATTCAAAAACAAATAAACAACCCAAAACCCCACCAAAACAAAGCACTACATTAGATGAGAGAATGAACCACTTGTCATAGATGTGCTTGACACTTATTGTATACTGGAATGTGCTCAGATTCTACGATGACAAGAGCAGTGTAAGAACCTATATGGAATAGAATATCTGATTGTATTTATTAGTTCCTTTGAAAGGGTTCCTGTACGTGCCTCAGTAGCAGCCAGGCATACAAATTGGTTCTGAAAAATATAAATGTCCCCCAATTTCAGAGGACATACACATGCCACAAACATAATTATGACTGCAAATCCCTACCACTGCATTACAAGTCACCATGCTATACTGTATGCCTATATGTTAATTAGGAGTATGGACATGTCTCAGTGCTGCTGACCATGAAGTTTATAAATCTAATGCACAGTAACAATTTCCAACTCTTCTATTCTGGCTAGAAGGTGAAATGAGCTCTTTCTCTCCAACTGGTGTATGGCAGCAGAGGTGTACATGTGTAAGTCATGAGAATGTGAGAGCGTGGTGAGTTATTTTTCTATATTAAACATACCTTTTCAGTAAATGCTCTAGAAGATGAACTGGCATCACGTTTTTCACCAAGCTGTTTCTTATCAGATTTCTTCTGAAGTTGTGAAAAGCCTGAGGTGCTAGATTGGCCCGAGGATTGTATTGTAGGCTGGCTTTCTCCATGATCCTCTATCTCTGAATCTGCCTGGATAAATATCTTCAGACTTTTGCCATCAATTTCTAGGGCATGGTCTTCACGTGATTTCACACAGTTCTTATCTATTGTGAGGTGGGAATAAATTGGAGGAGGAGAAGGGATCCTCTGCTTATTCTGGTGTATCAATGAACACTAAACAGTCAGATTCTCCATTGCTTTGCCCCTGTGTAGTCATTTTCACATGTGTAAAAGCCTAACATTCTGATCTGGTATGGTTTTACACCCACTCTGCACCCCTATGAATGATTACACAAGGGGAAAGGAAGAGGGAAAAACAATCCCCAAGGAATGCACACATACTGTGAATTTTAAGGTTTGAAACAAAATGTGTTCAAGCCTCTTTTGTACTGCCCCAGTGCTGGGGCCCTTAGGTGCTGGCCCACGCCATAGCACAAATTAGGGCCCACCATCTAACTGTTATACTGTATAGCACTTTTCGTGTGTGCATCTCAAAGAGAACTATGCTGGTTGTCAATGGCTACTAAGGTTCCCATCCATGTTCCCTTCTCCCTGACCATGTCCCTACACCAAGGACGAAGATGTGGGTAACATAGGAGCAGTTATGGGAGTTTTACATTACTCAAAGTTTGCTCTACACAGAGTAGTACAGCCGGCACTTGGCAGAGCTAGCATGCCACGGACCCAGACAGGTTCACAGCTGGGGTGCTGCCTAGGGGCATTAGCAAGTATAGCACAGGTGGCTACGGCTGGCACATCACCACCCTGCTGAATGTCATAGCTGATATGCCATCCATTGCCCCTGCTGAGTAGCAGCTTGCAAAATGTTTCAAGGGGCACAGCCTGCTGCCATGCCGAGTGACACAGTTGGCATACTGTCACACTGCACTATGGGCGCACACGATCCCTGTGGCACAACTGGTGGGCTGCTGCCATGCCATGCCGCTGAGGGACAAGACTGGCACTCTGCATCACTGGGGGCATGGATGGCACACCCCGCGTTCTCCCACCTCTAGGGCATGGCTAGCTCTCCCAGGCTGCACCCCTCACAGGCCTGGGACACACCCGGCTTGCACACACAGACACAGAGGGCACGGCGGGCACACCCTGTGGACCACCCCCCCCAGGGCATGGCTGGCACACCCCCCCCCCAGCCCCTTTTGGGGCTGGCATGCACTGACATGCTGTTGAGCTAAAGGGCGCCCCTCCCCCCCCAGCCTGGCACCCCCGCCCCCCTCGAGAAGCCAGAGTGGAGTGGGCCATGCCCTCCCCTCAGCGAGGCGCCGAGGGCACCAGCCAGCACCCGGCGCCGGGCCGGGCCGCGCACCCCCCTCACCTTTCTCCGAGCGGAAGCACACCAGGTAGGCGCCCGGCTCGGGGCCCCGCTCCACCTCGCACTCGCCTCCCCCGGAGCGCTTGGCGGACTGGAAGTAGCTCTCCAGCTTGAGCCGCAGCTTGTCGCTGGGCCGGGCCGCGGGAGAGACCCGCACCAGGAGCGGGGCCGGGAGGGCGGCCATAGCGCGGCGGCGGCTCACTTTCGCTTTCGATTCCCAGCGTCGGTCGCAAACAGCAGAAACTCCACAGCCCGCCCCGCGCCACGGCCCGGCCCGCCTGCCAGGTACCGGGGCCACCCCGCCCCGCGGCGCGTGTGGCGGAGTCGGGGCGGGGCGGGCGCGCTAGGGCCCCCCCGGGCGCTGCTGAGGCGCGGGCCCCGGGGCTGCGGTAGGGCGCATTGTTTGCGCCCGGGCGGTGCTTCCTTCGGGGTAGCCAACTGACCGCTGCCAGCAAAGCCTTGGGCGTGCAGAGAGGGCCACATTCGGTGCTGATCTACCCCGCTGCAGTCCTGACGACAAGGGAGCAAGCAGAGTTTGGCCCCAGGAGCTGAATGGGCACATAGGTGTGGGTTTGTGGGTCCCAGATTTTGATCTCGGTAATGCGCCGTGTAAATCAGAGTGACGCCATTAACTGATTGACGTGAGAGAGACTGCTGCCCCGGCTAGGGTTCTTACAGCCAGTGGGTGGTGGTCCCTTGCGGCATCAACAGTGAGCATTGTCTTCCTGTCGTCTGGCTTCGTTGTTATCTGCTTGCACTGAGGCTGAGTTATGGTTGACCTGGGAACCATATGACACTTTTCTGAGTTGTATATATTTAAATTCTCACCCATAACATTGCATTCAAGTATTATTTTGCATTGAAATGTTTTACTATTTTAAGATAAATTAATATATCACCAATGCATCTGAGATTTTAAAGTGTGGCGTTCCCGATATTTTCGTGTTGGTATATTTTACATGTTTGGGCTAGGGTTGCCAATTTTGGTTGGATGTATTCCTGGACGTCTCATCACATGACATAATCTTTAATTAAAGATTAATCTTTTAGTCTTGGAGACTCCAGGCCAATCCTGGAAGATGGGCAACACTAGTTTTGGGCCCAAATCCTGCAGTGAGCTTTGTGGGGGAATACTTTTGCATCTGTGTGAATCCCCAGTGAAGTCAGTGGTGCAGAGTTCTGCTCATGAAGAACTCCTTGTGGGATCAGGGCCTTGAATGTGTGTAGATGCATTTACTGAAATGGTCACAGATGCATTTTTCTGAACATCCTTGAAATCATTTGGGTAAATATGACCGCATGTATCTCACTGTGCAGATGCGCCTATGCTACTGTGTGCAGTTGCATAACTGCTCCTGGTGTGCTAGCACATCAGCAATACTGCCTGTATTTAATATCCCCTCAAGGGCTTCTATGAACCTGGCCCTGAGGTATTCCTTGATGGCCTCCATGATCTGATGACCTGATTCTCTTCTTACACCTGTGAAAATCAAGAGTCACTCCACTGATACACAACTGATTTAAGTGAGAGGAGATTTGATATTGTGCCTTACTTACATCAGTGATGGTAGCTGATTGTGCTTTTGTTGTTAATGAGCTACACAGCATTTGTGTTTCGCTTTTAGAAACAAAGTTTTCCAAGATTTAGAAGCATTTGGACCTGGGGTTTTGATTTTGTCTAGTACTGAAATTAGGGTCCGGAGAAGACCAGCAGGGGGACAGAATAACATAGCCTTAATGCAGTTTTAGAGACCAAATTGCAGAAGTTTCCATTTAGCAGAAGTTTGACTCTACACCTCACCCCCCTGCATGCTTTGCATTTCCAAAAGGGCAAAGATGGGTTGCAGAAATTAAAGAGGACATTGTTCAACATTTCCAATTAAATGATACGGGCTCCTGGAGGCAGTTAAAGCAGTATTTAGGGGTTGGTTGATTAGCAGTTTCTCAACTAAAGAATGAAAGAGCTCAAGAAAAAACAGAATCAGAACAGAAGCTAAAAAGGTTATAAGATAGTCATATTGATGACATCTTCATCATCTGGACCCATGGAAAAGAAGCCCTTGAGGAATTCCACCATGATTTCAACAATTTCCATCCCACCACCAACCTCAGCCTGGTCCAGTCCACACAAGAGATCCACTTCCTGGACACTACAGTGCTAATAAACAATGGCCACATAAACACCACCCTATACTGGAAACCTACTGACCGCTATTCCTACCTGCATGCCTCCAGCTTTCACCCTGACCACACCACACGATCCATCGTCTACAGCCAAGCTCTGCGATACAACCGCATTTGCTCCAACCCCTCAGACAGAGACAAACACCTACAAGATCTCTGTCAAGCTTTCTTACAACTACAATACCCACCTGCAGAAGTAAAGAAACAGATTGATAGAGCCAGAAGAGTTCCCAGAAGTTACCTACTACAGGACAGGCCTAACAAAGAAAATAACAGAACGCCACTAGCGGTCACCTTCAGCCCCCAACTAAAACCCCTCCAACGCATTATTAAGGATCTACAACCTATCCTAAAGGATGACCCAACACTCTCACAAGTCTTGGGAGACAGGCCAGTCCTTGCCTACAGACAGCCCCGCAACCTGAAGCAAATACTCACCAACAACCACATACCACACAACAGAACCACTAACCCAGGAACTTATCCTTGCAACAAAGCCCGTTGCCAATTGTGCCCACATATCTATTCAGGGGACACCATCACAGGGCCTAATAACATCAGCCACACTATCAGAGGCTCGTTCACCTGCACATCCACCAATGTGATATATGCCATCATGTGCCAGCAATGCCCCTCTGCCATGTACATTGGTCAAACTGGACAGTCTCTACGTAAAAGAATAAATAAATCAGATGTCAAGAATTCTAACATTCATAAACCAGTCGGAGAACACTTCAATCTCTCTGGTCACGCAATCACAGACATGAAGGTCGCTATCTTAAAACAAAAAAACTTCAAATCCAGACTCCAGCGAGAAACTGCTGAATTGGAATTCATTTGCAAATTGGATACTATTAATTTAGGCTTAAATAGAGACTGGGAGTGGCTAAGTCATTATGCAAGGTAGCCTGTTTCCTCTTGTTTTTTCCTACCCCCCCTCCCCCCAGATATTCTGGTTTAACTTGGATTTAAACTTGGAGAGTGGTCAGTTTAGATGAGCTATTACCAGCAGGAGAGTGAGTTTGTGTGTGTATGGGGGTGGGGGGGAAGTGAGAAAACCTGGATCTATGCAGGAAATAGCCCGACTTGATTATGTAAAGAGTTGTCACTTTGGATGGGCTAGCACCAGCAGGAGAGTGAATTTGTGTGGGGGGGTGGAGGGTGAGAAAACCTGGATTTGTGCTGGAAATGGCCCACCTGTTGATCACTTTAGATAAGCTATTACCAGCAGGACAGTGGGGTGGGAGGAGGTATTGTTTCATATTCTCTGTGTGTATATAAAGTCTGCTGCAGTTTCCACGGTACACATCTGATGAAGTGAGCTGTGGCTCACGAAAGCTCATGCTCAAATAAATTGGTTAGTCTCTAAGGTGCCACAAGTACTCCTTTTCTTTTTGCGAATACAGACTAACACGGCTGTTCCTCTGAAACCTGTCATAAAAATACAGGCTCAGAAGAAAAAAAATTAACTAATATTAGCAGGAAATTGAATATGATGATGACAAATCCCATTGAAAAAGCCTTTAGGTATGCAAAGCAGATGTTTTATGAAAAATGAAATAAAAATGATAGGCTATTAGCATGAAAGCTTAGAGGAATTCAAGAGCAACATATTATTCCATCAATTAAGAAAAATCAGCAAAAGCTAGTTACACACCTGAATGAAATATGTGCTGTTTTTGCTGCTTATTATAAAAATCTCTAAACTTGAGATACTCCAAGCTTTGAAGTTATTCAAAAATATCTGGAAGTAGCAGGCTTGCCAAAGATGAGAAAAATTGATTTAAGAAATAACAGAAGAAGACATCCTAGAGGCAGTAGCAAGTATGAAAAGTGGTAAAACTCCAGGACCTGATGGCTTTTTAGCTGAATTTTACAAGGTATTTAAGGAGTTATTAGTGGGTCCTTTGAGAGAGGAATTCCACGACTTGTTGTTAGGGGAGGAACTTCTACAACTTATGAAAGAAGCTACTGTGAAAGTTTTCCCCTAAAGAAGGAAAAGACCTTACCTTGTGCAGTTCCTTTAGGCCCTCTGCTGTATTGTGAAATTAAGATTTTAGCAAAAATACTAACTAGCTGATTGCAGTTTATGCTCTTAGCTTATATAAATCCAGATCAAACTGGATTAATTAAGGATAGACAAATGTCAGACAATTTTCAGAGAGTACTTGGAATCATTCATAATGCCAGATCAAAAAAATCAATTTCTCTTGTTATCACTAGGTGCCTTTGGTAGAATAGAGAGGAACTTCCTATTTCAAGTCCTGTCACATGTGGACTTTGGCCACCAGTTCCTTAAATGCATAACTGCTCTTTACATCAGCCCAAAAGCAGTGGTGCGGATTAATGGGGTTAAATCTCCCCTTTTTGAATTAAACTAAGGGATTAGGCAGTGATGGCCATTGTCTCCTTTACTTTTTGCACCTGCTATGGAGCCTTTTGCACAGAGGACAAGGAATAACTATTCAGTAAAGAAACTTTTCTGTTTTAGAGATCAAAACTCATTTTTATTGGTCCACTCTTCCCTGGTACCAGTACTTTCAAGTCAGGCACTATGTTTCTTATCTTTCTAGAAAATGTGTTTTAAACAGAAAGCTAACCTTAATAAAGTGGTCAATTAGGAAACAAAAAAATAACTAATTTATATCAACCTGTGCAGACAGCTTTCCTAATAGAAAGTTGTCCATATGAGGCCCTCTGGGAAAAGGCACTGGATAGACAAGTTACCCCAGATAAATCGGGTTTGATCTGGAAAAGAGGACTAGCATCCTCAGTGTTCCAGTGGTACCTCACACCAGTCAGGTTAAAAATAAACATATAGACTGAATAGGGATAAATGTTGGAGAAATTGTGGTGAAAGAGGAGATTTTTTGCCTATATGGTGGAAATGTCTAGTCATTAGGGAGTATTGGGCTGCAGTTCATAATCAAATATCACAAATTATTGGATACTTATTACCAAATGATCCTTTGGTAATCCTCCTGGGGCTTCGTAGTGGAAATGGTCACACAAAAGTAAATGAAGAATTAATCTCTCACCTGCTAGTAGCTGCTTGGCTATTAGCAGCCTCTCATTGGAAAAAAATAAAATAGCCCAACCATTGAGGAAAGGTTCAAAAATATGGGAAACTGTGTTGATGGAAAAATTAACACACGAATTCTGTACCCAACAACATACACAGAGGATAGATAGATAGATACTTACATATTTAGTCACCTTTTATTCAGTACTCGGACAAAATACATTCACTTGCAAAAAGCTCAACCCACCTGTCCATTTTTTTTTTAACATTAGCATTTGATAGACATACCTGGTCTGTTAAATATGTGCAGATAGAGATTTTACTCAATTTAATAAAATCATTAGAAATGACATAAGTATTGCAGTGATGCTCACTGTGTAATATGGTAGCACCCTGTGAAATAGAAAGATATGATGTTTATATATTACTGTATATCTCTTTAAACAAAAGCTAACTGTTGTAATTATTGTTTTATTGCTGATGTTTACATGTCAAGAATTTGTAAACTTGTTAAAACTTATTAAATAAATAGTGGGGGGTTTTCTAAAGAAAGAAATTAGGGCCTAGAGTAACATCTGGATTTGGATCAGAACCCCATCAAATTGTGGCTCATCTAGATGAAGACATTTGGTCTTCAGAAAATGAACAGTTGGCATAAGTTATTGATATTGCTAAAGATAGACTTCAGCTCCAAAAACAGAACGCTCTAGCACTTGAGTTCAATGAGAACTTGTGAAATTGCTAGTAGCTGCTTACACATCCTAGCTAGTACAGGGCACCATATCACTTGTCCTTCCTCCTCCCCTACTGTCTCACTCACTGCATTACAATAGGCAGCAGCTGAGTCCTATGACTCCAAATGGGCAATGTTTTAGTTTTAATCTACCTCAGTCATTGTAATGATAGCAGGTGGTTAAACCCAGATTTATGTTACTATATAAATTGTCAGGAGAAACAAGGACATGATAAGGATCAAGCCTCAGACTTTTAACTGGTTTCAGAGGAACAGCCGTGTTAGTCTGTATTCGCAAAAAGAAAAGGAGTACTTGTGGCACCTTAGAGACTAACCAATTTATTTGAGCATGAGCTTTCGTGAGCTACAGCTCACTTCATCAGATGTTTACCGTGGAAACTGCAGCAGACTTTATATACACACAGAGAATATGAAACAATACCTCCTCCCACCCCACTGTCCTGCTGGTAATAGCTTATCTAAAGTGATCAACAGGTGGGCCATTTCCAGCACAAATCCAGGTTTTCTCACCCTCCACCCCCCCACACAAATTCACTCTCCTGCTGGTGCTAGCCCATCCAAAGTGACAACTCTTTACATAATCAAGTCGGGCTATTTCCTGCATAGATCCAGGTTTTCTCACATCCCCCCACCCCCATACACACACAAACTCACTCTCCTGCTGGTAATAGCTCATCTAAACTGACCACTCTCCAAGTTTAAATCCAAGTTAAACCAGAACATCTGGGGGGGGGGTAGGAAAAAACAAGAGGAAACAGGCTACCTTGCATAATGACTTAGCCACTCCCAGTCTCTATTTAAGCCTAAATTAATAGTATCCAATTTGCAAATGAATTCCAATTCAGCAGTTTCTCGCTGGAGTCTGGATTTGAAGTTTTTTTGTTTTAAGATAGCGACCTTCATGTCTGTGATTGCGTGACCAGAGAGATTGAAGTGTTCTCCGACTGGTTTATGAATGTTATAATTCTAATTTATAATTTTAACTAGCACAGACATTCGTAATGGGTGTGCTAATTTAACACTTTACTGTCCTGTGATGCTGATTCCCTGCTCAATATACTTTGTAGGATAAGGAGTTCTGAAACCTGCACATGATGGCCTTTGACTTGCTAAACTCTTCATGTAGCAGAAGTATAAAAATCTCACCTGGGCATGAATGCGAAGAGTTCTATAGCAGTTATCTCAGTCGGTTCCTTGATTGCTTACAGGTTTCAGAGTAGCAGCTGTGTTAGTCTGTATCCGCAAAAAGAAAAGGAGTACTTGTGGCACCTTAGAGACTAACACATTTATTTGAGCATAAGCTTTCATGAGCTACAGCTCACTTCATCAGATGCATGCAGTGGAAAATACAGTGGGGAGATTTATATACACAGAGAACATGAAACAGTGGGTGTTACCATACACACTGTAATGAGAGTGATCAGGTAAGGTGAGCTATTACCAGCAGGAGAGCGGGGGAGAAAAAACCTTTTGTAGCGATAATCAAGGTGGGTCATTTCCAGCAGTTGACAAGAACGTGTGAGGAACAGTAGAGGGGAAAATAAACATGGGGAAATAGTTTTACTTTGTGTAATGACCTGTCCACTCCCAGTCTTTATTCAAGCCTAAAGTAATGGTGTCCAGTTTGCAAATGAATTCCAATTCAGCAGTCTCTTGTTGGAGTCTGTTTTTGCAGTTTTTTTGTTGAAGAATTGCAACTTTTAGGTTTGTAGTCGAGTGACCAGAGAGATTGAAGTGTTCTCTGACTGGTTTTTGAATGTTATAATTCCTGACGTCTGATTTGTGTCCATTTATCCTTTTACATAGAGACTGTCTGGTTTGGCCAATGTACATGGCAGAGGGGCATTGCTGGCACATGATGGCATATATCACATTGGTAGATGTGCAGGTGAATGAGCCTCTGATAGTATGGCTGATGTGATTAGGCCCCATGATGGTGTCCCCTGAATAGATATGTGGACACAGTTGGCAACGGGCTTTGTTGCAAGGATAGGTTCCTGGGTTAGTTGTTTTGTTGTCGGAAAACACTTCAGTCTCTTTGGTCACTCGATTACAGACCTAAAAGTGGCAATTCTTCAACAAAAAAAAACTTCAAAAACAGACTCCAACGAGAGACTGCTGAATTGGAATTAATTTGCAAACTGGATACAATTAACTTAGGCTTGAATAGAGACTGGGAGTGGATATGTCATTACACAAAGTAAAACGATTTCCCCTTTTTTATTCCGCCCCCCCTCCCCCCCACTGTTCCTCAGACGTTCTTGTCAACTGCTGGAAATGGCCCACCTTGATTATCACTACAAAAGGTTTTTTTTCTCTCCTGCTGGTAATAGCTCACCTTACCTGATCACTTTCGTTACAGTGTGTATGGTAACACCCATTGTTTCATGTTCTCTGTGCATATAAAATCTCCCCACTGTATTTTCCACTGAATGCATCCGATGAAGTGAGCTGTAGCTCACGAAAACTTATGCTCAAATAAATTGGTTAGTCTCTAAGGTGCCACAAGTCCTCCTTGTCTTTTTGCGGATACAGACTAATATGGCCGCTACTCTGAAACCTGTCAAAATAAGATGCTGAGCCTGCAGGCTGAGACTCCTGTTGACAGTCATCTGGGGGCACCATGGCAACCTGCCTGGAGGGTTCCAGGGGAGTTAGGAAAAGTCTGTTGGGAAAGGCAGTTAGACCGTGGGTGCTGGAGCTGGAGGGGAGGAGAGGGCTCAGTGGGGTTGGGGAGGAGAAGGGGCTTGAAGATGGGGAACATGATGAAGATGCTGGTAAGTGACCAGGAAGAAAGGAGAGTCAAAGAAATATTGGGGGGCAAGGGTGCCAGAGTCAGGGTATTTAAGGGAGTAAGGATATTGGAGGGATTACTCCTGAGGAGGGACAGGGAGAAGACATAAACAAATGATCAGAACATCAAATTAACTTCTCTTGGTTATGTTATCCACTTCAGGAAGCTACCTACCCCAAACTGAAACATGCTCCATGTGGGAAAAATAACCAACATGGCCAGGGAATGTGCTGGGATGAATCTTGCAGGGCCAGATTCACCCCAGTGGAATCGTATTGACCTCAGTGGAGTTGTAGCAGGGATTATTTTGTCCCCTCAGTATTTCCCTGGTGATGTGTAGGAAGTCAATAAAATTGCACTGGGTGGTTTGGCCTTGCAAGATTCAACCCAGCTAATGTGAAGGGGGCAGAGTCTTTCAGTATTGTGTTAAATTAAATGTGTAAGTAGTGTAGTATAAATATATATTGAAGTTTTTATTTCTCCTTTCCCCAAAATAAATGCTCCATGATTTTTAATGAAACATTTGTGTGTGTGTGCACATCAGTTTGATCATAGGTTGAATAACAGGAATCGGTTCACATAAACGTTTTTGAACAGTGGTTTGTAGAAGTTCCACTGTATATCAGTGTTATTAATTATTTAGGAATGTGTTTATATTATAGGTGGAGCTGGTAACACAGCTTATTATTAAATTTGTTTGACATTTCCCATTATAAGACTGTGGTTTCATTTGCTTGTAACTTTGCCAATCTTTAACCATTCAGGCAGAAATTTTCCATGATGGATGTCTGTCTCAGGCTGATTTTTGTTTTGTTTTTTTTTGTTTTTTTTGTTTGGAAAATTTCAGCCAAAATGTTGAGCCATTTCCAAGAACAAGGCTAGAGAAAAATACATTGCCTTTTAATGTATTGAATGTTAAGAAGATTATTGTTGTAATGTTAAGAAAATTTAGGTGACCTTTTCTTTGAAAAGCTGTAGCTCTCCCAGGGCTTGGAACAAGGACTTGAAATTTGGCAGGAAAGTGGCCTTCTGTCCTTTTGCCATCCTTGTGAAAATCTGTCCACATTTGGCTAAATTATAAACCTTTGAAAAATCTTAGTTTGCACACGCTCACTAGAGTGTATATTTATATGTATATGTAATATAATGTTTAATTTTTTCCCCTTACTTTTTGTATTATTTCACAGACGTCCAATCCAGTGACCTGTGAGGAAGATTACGATTCAGGTAGGCTTCTTTCTTTTCATGTTACAGAGCAGACTTGAATTTATACCCTTCTTTTTTGAACTGAAATTTCACTTCAGCCAGGGTGGATTTGATTTAAATCATGATTTAAAATTTGTTAAAATTGTTTTTAACTAAAATAGTTAAATGAAATATTAAAAAAAAATTAAATAGACTATGTCAGCCAGGTCAACATGAGAAACTTAAAATATTGGCTTCTGCAGCTAACTCAGTCGTCTTCACCTTCATTTTCCTGTTTGTTCATAATCTGGAAAAGGAAAAACAAGCTTTCCTGCTTTTTCAGGTCCCAAACAATTTCTCAATTTGGAATGAATTAGTCCAAAGTAAGAAAATATTCTTTCTACACCAGCAGAAGAAGCTACTGCTGATAAAAGTGAGATTATCACTTCAACAGTCTCTGAATCCAAGTTCACTGGTGTGACTTTCTTTAAAACATCATCAGCAAACATATATTTCTTGAATGGTTCACCCTTAGTTCTGAAGTTTATTATAGTTGGCATTATGGAGGGATGATTGCTGGATGTCCATGTCATCGCCAACTCCTCTTCTTCAGCAGTTAAGGTTTGACCCTGATACCGAGTATTGAGAATATTTGCAAGAAAATGAGCTGGAGATAGTGCTTGTCCCATTCGATTCTGTAATGCTTGTAATTTAACTCTGTCATTGCATATTTCTCTTTTTAAGATCTCGCTCAGTTCCTTCCAAGTTTCAACAGCGTCTGCAATAAAACAGCTAGTTCCCTGCATTTTGTTCAAGGCTACAGAAATAGGCTTCAGGGTACTCAGCATGTGTTCAACTTTTCTCTTAATCCTAATGTTGGGAACTTTGGCTGTGACAGTGCCATCTGTTTTTTCACAATTTTGTTCACAAACTGTCATCAGATTAAGCCAGTTCTTGATATAGTGCTCAAAACAGTCCACTACTGAGTTCCATCGCACGTCTTGTGGGAGAGTTAGCTTGGTTCCTCCCACTTTTTTCAGAGCAGCTGCTGAAAAGTGGTTGTTTTGCAATTTCAACATTAGCCTTTATTTCTGGACCACTGAAGTCTTTGGCTAGGAGGTGCATCAAATGAGCACTGCAACCGTATGTTATTAGTTTGGGACTCTCTTGTAAATAATTTCTTCTCATCTTGGATACGTTTTCAGCATTGTCTGTGACCAAGCTTTGTACTAGACATTTGCATTTTTTTTCATAGTTTGTTATAGCTTTTACTGCTACTTCTTGTAAGCATTCTGCTGTGTGTGCATTTCCTGATGTATCAGTTCCCTTCTTCTGTTGGCACACAAGCACATACAACAGGATTTTGCTCCACCCATCAAGACTCAGGTTAATAATTTTACCCTCTAGACCTTTTGCACACTGCTCAATTTCTCTTTCACACACTTTATCCAGCAGTTTGCCTGCGACATCTGCTCTGTTGGGTGGACTTTGTCCTGGTCTTAATGGCTGAACCATGTTAATGAAGTGTGGGTTCTCAGTCATATGGAAAGGAGAGTTTGTTGCATAAACAAACCAGGCAATTTTTTTCATCAATTATCTCGTTTTGTAATCTGCTGGTTCTTATCACAAATTTATCTATGGTTGTTTCTGGATGATGGAGATTTATTTTTCTTTTTGCTACAGGTGATATACTGTGGCTATGTGACATACATGATGTAACGATGCTGGTTCTGGTGGGACCCAACTGAGAGTGCCAATTCAGGACAAATTGCTTAAAGCAGGGCAGTTACAGCCCAAGGCTTGGGTTTCTGTGCATACCAAGGCAAACCAAACCAGCCAAACAGAGAAGACTTTGGTTTTACCCCACTGGCTAACCATAAGTCACACAAGGAATTCCCTTAGACACTCCAGTTTCCCAGTATCACCACCAGTGCCACTCGTTATGGGGAAAAAGGTGATGAAAACCAATACCCCAGTAAAAGAAAAGAGGTTCTCCTGATCCCAAAGGACTAAGCCCCAGACCCAGGTCAAGATACAAGTTAGATCTTACCCACAAATCACGCTGTTGCCAATTCTTTAGAATCTAAAATCTAAAGGTTTATTCATAAAACGAAAAAGATATAGATGAGAGCTAGAATTGATTAAATGGAATCAATTACATACAGTAATGGCAAAATTCTTGGTTCAGGCTTGTAGCAGTGATAGAATAAACTGCAGGTTCAAATCAAGTCTCTGGAGTACATCTACAGCTGGGATTGGTCATTCAGTCCTTTGTTTAGAGCTTCCATTTGCAGCAAAGTCCCTCCAGATGCAAGAAGCAGGATTGAAGACAAGATGGAGGAGCTGCAGCAGCCTTTTATAGTCTCTTGTCATGTGGCTTCTCTTTCTTTGTTCCAAAGACAAGCATTCGGGCATATGGCAAGATAAAACCTTAGAGTTCTGTCCATAGGCATGTCCCTGCAAACCTTGCTGAGTGACAAGGTGTATCTGCCTTCTTTCAGTGGGTCAGTTGTATAGCTGATGGTCCTTAATGGGCCATCAAGCGGGCTAGGCAGAGCTGACACCAACTTGTCTGGGGTGTCACCCAGAAGCATAGCACAGAGCTTCTCAAAGCTGGTCCGCCACTTGTTCAGGGAAAGCCCCTGGCGGGCTGGGTCGGTTTGTTTACCTGACGCGTCCGCAGGTTTGCCCAATCGTGGCTCCCACTGGCTGCGGTTCAGCGCTCCAGGCCAATGGGGGCTGTGGGAAGGGCGGCCAGCTCAGCCCGTGCTGCTTCCCGCAGCCCCCATTGGCCTGGAGCCGCGAACCATGGCCAGTGGGAGCCGCGATCAGCCGAACCTGCAGACGTGGCAGGTAAACAAACCAGCCCGGCCCGCCAGGGACTTTCCCTGAGCAAGCAGTGGACCGGCTTTGAGAACCACTGGCATAGCATATGTTTGAAATACAGACAGTATAGAGCCAAAATTCCTAACTTCAACTATAAAAATGATACACACAAACAGATAGCATAATTATAACCAGCAAACCATAACCTTGTCTTAGACACCTTATTTGACCCCCTTTATACAAGATTTGGTGCCTCTACAGGACCTTGGTTGCAACAATGATTTATATGGTCCCAGTTTGTGAATAACATCATACATGATGTGACTGAAACACTATCACTGTCAGATAACTCTGAAATTATAGAAAATTATAGTGATCTTGAAGGTGGATAGTCTTCAGAATCCTGTATGTTGAGGATGGATTCTCCTAAACAAAATAAGTCAATGCAGTTATTTAATTATTATTACCAAATTGCTCATTTAGTATTACTCATTGCATTCACTGACACTCAGTACTACTTTAAAGGTGAAATTGTAAAAGGAAGATCGGCCTGTTTCAGCTATTTATTTTTTGTATCACAACTGCATCTAAAATGATAGTACCATAGAGTAACAACTATATTTTTTGCTCAAACATGAGAATTCAAGAATAGTCCAGAAGGAAGACAGGCAGTCCTTAAGAAAGAAAGTATGAAATAAAAAAGTTTACCAACCTGAAGATCCTGCATGTTCAGACATGTTCCTTTCATCGTCTTCAATGCAGCTTTCCTCCTGAGAAGGAACACTTCTCATGATGTTGTTTCATTTGGGCAACCAGGCCCAGCATTTCTTTGTTGCACTGTTTGCATTTTGCACGCATGCCTGTCTTACCCACAGGTAGAGGAACTTCATTAAAATATTCCCAAACTGGGTCTCTTTTACGGCCTGCTGCCATTATAGGTTTCCCCTTTTAGTGAGAGAATGGTATGGTAGATCTCAACTCAATGAAGGCTACACTCAGAAAGACCTCAAGACTTCTGGAATATGCTGCTCAAACAGTTTCACTTTTGTTTCTACTGCTTGTCCCTCCCTTCTCACATTTATCTCCAGACTTCTTCTTCTTGTCCATATCTATTCCGCCCCCAACAATCTTCTATTCATTGAATTTTTTGAAACTTTGCACTTTTAGAGAGAGGTAAGGGATCGACTCTGTGTACACAAATTTGCAGAGGGACAGTAGGGTTGAAATCTGTTATATCTCACCTCTCTATATTATTTATTTATTTTAAAACATTTTTGCTGTTAACAAGCATGTTATCTCTGGAGACACAAATCCACAGTTTGAGAACTGAAAAACTAAGCATCTCTGATTGTATCTTCTAGACTGAGCACTGAGTCCCATTGGGTAGATAGAAAGATTACCTAAATAATCTATACAGAACCCCTGGAACCCCATAAGATTGCATCCTTACTCCGTGAACTATTGGAACTCATTTACAAAACTTTTCTTAAACTTTACATGAATATATTGTCTCATACTATAGAATTAGAGTTTATAATCCCTATTTCATGATGAGATACCTTTGAGCTATAATGTATCCGATTTAAAAAATTTTTTTTAAATCATTGATTTTTACCCACCCTGACTGCAGCTAAAACAAGTAAAGTTGAAAGCATGCAAATGGTTTAGTTGAAAGCAAACCAAAATGTATGACTTGGATAAGGATGTCAATTTTATGTTTCGTTAGTTTTATGTGGTTTCTTCACACCTTTAAAAGTAGTGTGCTAAAGAAAAGATGTTTTGATGGAAAGCCATTTAAATTCAGTGCACCTTACTAACAATGATAGGCAGAACAGTCTATTTTTAGACTACAACTGTGCAGAGAAATAGGTACTGTAGCTCAGCTGAAAAGTGTGGTAAACTCATGCAAATTGTAAGGATTTACACAAAAAAGTTAACAAGATACCTACTGTATATAGGCGCCGACTTCTACTGATGCCGGTGGGTGCTCGCCACTCCTTTACCCCTGCCTTGACTCCACCCCTGCCCCGCCCCCTCCTGCTCCCATTCCAACCTCTTCCCCAAAGTGCCTGCCCCAACTCCGCCCCATTCCGACTCTTTCCCCAATTCCACGCCTCTTCCCCACCTTCTCCCCTGAGCGTGCCATTTTCCCATTCCTCCCTGCTCCCTCCTAGAGCTTGCTACAGCTGTTTGGCAGCGGCAAGTGCTGGGAAGTAGGCGGAGGAACGGGGACGCAGCGTGCTCGGGGAAGAGGTAGAGACGAGGCAGAGCGGAGGTGAGGGGGGCAGGCAGGGTGGGGAACTTGGCTGCCGGTGGGTGCAGAGCACCCACTCATTTTCCCCTGTGGGTGCTCCGGCCCTGGAGCACCCACAGAGTCGGCACCTATGCTACTGTGTGTAGTTCTATAGAAATCTACCAACACAGAAGAATATATATCTCTGGGGATTAGTAATGGTATAAAGACCTTTGCAGCTCTTCATTGCTAGTTCTATCCAGCATAGGCGCCAACTTCTCCTGGCGCCAGTGGGTGCTTGACCCCCGGCCCCGCCTGGACTCCGCCCCTGCCCCGCCCCCATTCCAACCCTTTCCCCAAAGTCCCTGCCTCAACTCCGCCCCCTCCCTGCCCCTATTGGACTCCTTCTCCAAATCCCTGTCCCGGCCCCGCCTTTTCCCCGCCTCCTCCCCTGAGTGCGCCACGTTCCCGCTCCTCCCCCTCCCTCCCACAGCTTGTTACGTCGCAAAACAGCTGTTTTGCAGCGGCAAGCGCTGGGAGGAGAATTGGGGATGCAGCACGCTCAGGGAAGGAGGCGGACCGGAGGTGGAGGTGAGCTGGGGTAGGGGGTGGGCGGGGAGCTTGGTTGCCAGTGAGTGCAGAGCACCCACCAATTTTTCTCAGTGTGGTCATGCGCAGTGCTGGGAGAGAGCTCTCCCAGTGCTCCTGGTAATCCATCTCCACGAGGGGATTAGTTCCGAGTGCTGGGAGCACGGCTCCCAGTGCTCAGAACCTGTCTACACTAGCGCTTTAATGTGCTCAGTCTTGCTGCTCTCAGGGGGGTGATTTTTCCCACCCCTGAGCAAGCAAGTTAGAGCACTATAAAATGTAAGTGTAGACATACCCTAAGGTAGAGTGGGAGAAGAGAAGACTATGACAAGGGAAAATTACTTACTGATCATTCCTTTTATCATTGCAAGTCAGTTTAAAAAATAATGATTGAAAGCTTTAAAATATGCTGTGCTTTAAAAATGTGTTTGACATTGGATCACTGCATTTCTCTTAATTGTTTTATTATCTAGTATCCAGCATGGAAACTGAGGAGGAAAGCTTAACAATTCCCATCAGTAAAGATGTTTATGAAATCCTTACAAGACGAGAGAGCTGTCTACGTGACCTCATTGAGAAGAAGTTTGGTTGTATATCTCTTCTTAAGAGTATAAGATGTCCTCTTGAAGTATACAGGAAAAGCCTGAAGGAAGGAATTGAGATATCTGTTTGGATGGATGATCTGACAAGACATAACGCTGATGCTTTGGTCAATGCAGCCAATGAACATCTGCAGCATATTGGAGGCCTTGCTCTTGCCCTGGTGAAAGCTGGTGGGCCAGAAATTAAACAAGAGAGTAAACGTTATATTGAGCGCCATGGAACACTCACTACTGGTCAAATAGCGGTAACAGGCGGAGGCAGGCTTTCTTGTAAGAAAATTATCCACACAGTAGGTCCAAGATGGTCTGTATATCAAAGTCAGAGATGTTGTCAAATACTTGAAGCAGCTATTATAAATGTCCTGCATTATGTTAATGCTCCAGAGAATAATATAAAGTCTGTGGCTATCCCTGCAGTGAGCTCAGGAATTTTTGGCTTCCCACTAGATTTATGTGCTCACGTGATTGTAAAGACTATAAAGAATTTTGTGGAGCTAGCTCCATTATTTGGCTGGGTCAAAGAAATCCACTTGGTGAACCTTGCTGAGCCCACAGTTGCAGCAATGAAAATGGCCTGTGAAAAGCTGCTGGGCAGGAGTGACATCAACGCACTTCAGGAGACTCCACCAGCTTCAGCAAATCAGCTTCCAGATTCGATCACAATCAATGGTCTCCACCTACATATCATAAGAGGACAAATTGAAGATCAGAAAGTAAGTCATCACAGTGGACCCTGAGGACCCTGATCTTGTAAAGTGCTGAGTGTGGAGTTGCATCCCAGCACCTTGCAGGATTGGATCCTAAGAGATTAGAGGGCATGTTGTATTGATCCAATATATATGCATCTTGCCCTCTTGTCTTTAGTCACCCAACGTTAGAATCGGTGGACCAATACAATATATACCCAGGTGTCTTCTTATAATATGTCTTTTGAGTTTGAAAAGTTTTCTTTCTGAGTGAGCCCTGCTAGGAGAGGATAGAAGACAGCAACAGATAGAATAAAGTTATTGACTGTCCTGACTCTGTTAACATTTACTTTTTTTATGTAATATTTTAATAGTTAACATTTTTTCATGTATCCCCAAGAAGTTTACTCTCCTAGTTCCTATCATGACCTGCTTTTTTTTTTTTTCCCCTGGAATGGGACGAATGCTCCTCTGAAGACGTCTATACTACTGGCTAAATTGGCACTGCTGCGATTGGTGCAGCAGTGTTGATTTGGCTGGTCTGGTGAAGACCTGCTAAGTTGATTGGAGAGCATTCTACAAAACATCGAAAGAAGCATGTAGTGTAGACGTCCCTTAAAAGGTGAAGTTTCTGGGTGGATGGAGTTTTTATAAGAAAAATTCCACCAGCTGCACAGGTACATTTGAAGTGGGGATCTGACTGCAGTGCAGGTAGAATAGCCCTTCACCTGAAGTGAAATATACTGAAAGCTTGTGTTGTTTTCTTCCAGACTGCAATTATTGTTAATTCTGTGGTCATAAATGATGATCTGTCAAGAGGAAACATTTCAAGAGCAATTCTGCAAAAAGCAGGCTCATCTCTTCAGCAAGAATTTCTGTTTGAGTTACAAAAACTTCCTCCATCTTGTGAGAAATTCATATTGACAAAAGGATACAATCTGGCCTGCAAGTCTGTGCTCCACGTAGTATGGTCATCACAAAACAGCAGTGATTCACGCAAGGTGATGTTCTGTTAGAGAAGATTTTCACTCCTCTTCTTAATGTCAAAAAGTAAAATAAGGTGTAAAACTCTCCTTTTTTTTCTGCAGGTACTAAAAACTGCAATGTCAAGATGTTTGCTTAAGATTCAGGAGTATCCATTTCCTTCAATTTCCTTCCCAGTAATTGGATCTGGAGTATTACGTTTGCCAAAGGATGAAGTGGCAAATATTATGATTGACGAAGTTTTAAGCTTTGCAAAGGAACATCCTGGAAGGAAGTTAGATGTGTATTTTGTGATCCATCCAAATAACAGTTTTGTCTACAAGGTAAGGTATTTAGTGTTAACTATAAGTAGAAGAACTCACAATAATCATGAAGAAAGTTTCCTTGAATTTCTACAAGCTAAAGTACTTTACATACCAAACTATATGTAACATTTGTAACAATAGATAGCAAGCCTCTGGTGTGTCTTGTGAAGAAACCCAGAGGAAGATCAAACCTGGTGAGGTTGGACTGGGAATTTGATTGACATCCTTCCCTGAAAGAGACAATAAATGGCATCCTGGCAGGGGATAGGAATCAGCCTATGTAAGAAACAGATCCCCCAGGAATATGAATTCTAGTCTAGCGTGGCAGGGTGCTATCCCCTCTTTTGCCCAGTTGCCAGCTTGCTTCCTGCTGCATGGCTCTGCGGAAGGGAAAATGTGCAGATGGTGTGTGTCTGCTGGTTCAATTGGCAGGAACTCCAGATAAACTCTGACTGAAATCCACCAGTCCCCTAGGGAACTTACTTAGTTGTCTTCCTATCCATAGCCCCAACAGCATGGCTGTCACTTAGGCCTCCTGCAGTTCTTGGGGCTGGCAGGGAGTATACAATGAAGGTGTTGCTTCCCACTTACTGGGGACTTTCTAAAGTACTTCTGCTGAAGTTATGCCATGGAAAATGCATTTAGCAAATTCTGTCTAATCATCTCCTGTAGCAATGTAGTGTTACAAAGGACTTTGCCTTCTATGGTGGACCAGGCTGTAGGCACATGAGGCCAAATTGTCTGCTGATGATTTCAGTGGAACTGTCCCAGTTTATGTCAGCAGAGAATTTGGCCCAGGTGATTTATACATGGCTGTTTTAGGTATCCATATATTATAAAAATATAATTATAAATTGATGCTGTTCTTGTTGAACCCAAACCTCCGACTGACCTCAGTAGGTGAGGAGTGAGCCTGTATACTGTAGCAAAAGTAATATTCGGCGCAATAGAGTGTGGGCTGGCAAAAAGGTTACATTATGCTCTTGCTTCTGCTCTGAAAGGCTATCATGGAAAATTGAATCATACTCAGGACCAAATTCAGATGTGAAGTGTAATGTATCAGTAACTGGGTGTAAGGGAGTCTGAACATAATTTACATGCTGAAGATCTGGAAAAAGGGGTAGCCACTCCTACCCTCTTGGTCCTTCCTGTTAGTTGCTTTTCCTGATACACCATCTCTTCCATGCCATTGATGTGTAGGTTACATGAATTTTGACTCCTAGAGTCAAATAAATGGACTTATACCAACTCATTGACATGTAACTTACACTACCTTGCGTGTAAACTCTGATATTGCCCCTCAGTTTTAGAAATATTTACAATAAGAATTTCCAAGTTTAATTACAGTGACTTTTACTCCTCTATGCTTTAGATCTATAGTGCAGTTGCTTCATTTTTTTGTCAGTATAATTCAGTGTAAAATCTTATTTTCTAATGTAGTATTAATTTGCAATGTACTTTTCATGGCATTTGAAGATGATTTTTATCATTTTTTCTGTGTGTCAGAACACTGACAAATTACACTTGGTTATCATTTGTCTCCGTGTTTTCTTGGACCACATGCTCACACTGCCAGTTGTTTCACTAATATGCCAAAAGCTGTCCTCTCCTCGCCACAGGCCTTGAAGGCTAAAAACCAACATGAGTAGTGTATTTTCACTGCTCAGGGAGGTCAGTCTGCAGGAAGCCCAAACCCACTGCACAGAACAGTGCTCCTCAATGGTTTTCCACATGAGACTATGGAGAGGAGCTTTGTGAGTTAGCTAAGGGGATAGTCAGTGCCTCAATGCGCAGCATGGATCCATCAGCATAAAACCGTAAGTAGAAGAAATTGCTTCTGCTCTGGCCCATAAGCTATAATAGTAGCCACAGCCTGGCCACGTGGGTTCCCCACATATTACCTCCACATGGAACTGGAGAGAGTGCCACCCATGCATGCCGTCCATGTCCCTGTACAAAGCCCTGGAACCAGGTTTGGCACAGGAGACCAGCATCAGGCCCTGTGTTTAAGGAGACTGACTAAAACTGCTTTCCCAACAGAAATCTGGAGAGACAGACTCTGTTCGTTTGTGAGTGGTTTAACACATAGCTGGTTGTAAACGGATTCTAAATCTTTCTTTGTCAAGGCTTTCCAAACCAAGTTTGATTCAGCTAAAAGCAAACTGGGAGAAGATGTGAAATGCAACAAAAGTGACGATTTGGGTAAGTAAGGAGCACAAAGGGTGAGTAAAGTTCTGAAAATTATACTCTCATAATAAATATCTGTTGTCTGGGGGTGAAATCATCACACAGGAGCTCTGTGTTTAGTTTTTGACTTGTTTCATTGTTTGTCAGACTGGGTGATAAGAGGTGAAGAAGACAAGACTGGTTTTGATATAATGGGGAAAATGTGTTACCTCTTCTAAAATTGTGTTTTGGAAAACTTGTTTTAGTATTACTATATTTAGACTCCTTTTTACTTACCGGATTCTCATTCATGTAAACAAAAATGTAACTGTTGATCTAACTATTCAACTCTTCAGACTCTTTGCAGTCTTTTGCCCCTTGAAGAACCCATGTCATTGACATTGATGTTATCAAGAGTTAGGGCTGAATACTGATCTTTGGGTTTGCTAGTTCAAAAGCAGGATTTCTTAAATGTGAATACAAACGGGAGGACAGCTGAGCTTTGACAGTTATCAATTATTCTCTCTAATCAATCATCTTCATCCCAGTTCCTTCCATTTCAGGAGCCAGTGGGTATGGTAAATTGTTGACACAGAAAGTTCTAACTACTCTGCTTTGGCACCTTCATTCCAGCTCTTGCAAACAGATATAGAACATGATCAGCACCATCCTTCTGTAGAACATAGGTTTTGTTGTATCAGACTCAGATCCTTGCTGCCTCCAGCAGTGTTTGGGTAGCTGATGCTTCAGAGGAAGGCGACCCTTCTGGCCTCCAATAACTCACCTAGCCATTTGTGCCATGCCTTTTCTGGGGCAAGAGGAGTTCCTTTCTGATCCTGACGCACAAGTTTTAATAAGCTTATGCATTCTGGCTTGAATGGCTACAAGTCTAGTTAGTGACCATGAAATTATCTAGCCAGTCCTTTCCTCAGCCTAGTTAATTGTCACTGATCCAGTGAACAAAAATAAACTTTGACTAGTTCAAATCAAGAGAAAGACCAACAGAACCCTTTAAGTTAGGTATGGTGGGGCTTGATTCAGCCCTTGCGATACCCCAACTCTGAGGGAGGGAGGGAGGGTGCCCCCTGAATGTATCTTTGGGATATGCTATTAGAAACAGATATAATCTAGGCCTGAATTGTGCCCTGTGCTTTGGTTTCTAATGAATCTGAAAGGGCTCCATGTGAAAATCATCATCACTGGTTGATTTGAGAGAAAGCTCTACCAGAGGTCCCCTGCTGAGAGGACATGAACACAACTGTCCCTATTCAGCATGGTGGTGATCAAAGTTGTTTCCTTATTTTTTTCTCAGTTTTCCTTGAACCATGCCCAGAAGTTTGTACATCTGACTTTAACTTTAAAATGATAATTAAGCTTTGGGGGATGTTGGCTGAGTGCATTTTAGCTACTATAAAGTTCCAGAGCTTATTCTATATGTTCAAGTAACAGTAAAACCTGCACTGGCAATAGGCAGTGCCCTGTCTTTAGTTAACACTTCAGAGTTTCCAGTACAGTTTTGTTCAACTTTTCGCCTTGTCCTGTGAGATGCTGAACACCGTCAATACCAACTGCAATCAGTGGGAGTTGATGGCACAAAGTACTTCATGTGATTGGGCCCTGGTGCCAAAGGGTAAAATTTTAGTTCAAGAGATGAGGATGGCATCATGGGTTAGCATTCCTTCCCTCCTTGTAGGCAGGCGAGTTGTATTTGTTTTGTGCCTCCTACGTTCAAATGATTGCTGGCAGCACTCCAGCCCATTGCCATTTATTTCTATCAATAGACTCTTTATTACAAGCTGAGAATGTTGTCATTTGAAACATATTCTAGCTAGCTAATGCAAAGTGAGTGTGAATGAAACATATTGATTTTAGCAGTGATTTACATTGTACTTAAAAAAAAAAAATCCAGGGAGAACACAGATGTAGTTAAAATGCAAAAAGTACTTCATTTATCCAGAGCCAAACACCAGAAGGGATTTAAAAGGGCTCCTTTGTGAGTAGGTCAGTGTCCTCTCCTTCACTTCCCTGTAGAACTACAGTGTATTCTCTTAACACAAAAACAGTCCTAACTAGAGACTTAAAAGCAAGATTTATGGTTTCAGTCTGTGTAAATATTTAATTTCATCATCTCCAGTGTCTCCTGAAATAGCAGCTTCTGTTTAAACCACACATTAGAGGAATGTGGAAAAACATGAAAATTAAGAACAAGTTTCTAAATGGCTCACAGAAGAGGAACTACCATTTAATTTGACTTCAAAATGTAAAGATATTATACACGTGGGATGAAACTGTATTTATTAATTATTACTAAGGCCAAATCCTGGTCCCACATAAATCAATGAGAGATTTGCCATTGACTTTAATAGGAGTGGAATTAGGCCCTTAAATGGAGATTTTCAAAGGCAGAATTGAAAGTTAATGGGAGTTACATGCCCAACTGCCATTTATATCTTTAAAAATCTACCCCTTAGTGTCTATCGTCATATCCCCATTCTGAATGTACCATAAGGGCAGTAAGGTTTCCTTGTGCTGCAAAATCTCAGGCTGCATACAGAAACTTGTGACAGTACTTGTGAACTTTTCAGTCTACTAGTTGTACTTATATAATCAGTATTTCTTTCAGGGTCACACTCTGACAGACAAACGGAGACAGAGAATAAAAAAACTGGACCGGCCATTGAACTTATTGGAAACCGCTGTGAAGCACTGGAAGCAGCAAAAATATGGATCAAAAACATAATGCAAGTCCAGGAAAGTCACCTTATCGTTATAGAAAACAATCACATTTTTAACCTTAGCAAAAAAGATCATGCAGAACTGTCTCGTCTGCAGCGTTTCGGTGTATCCATATCGGAAGAAGTGGTTGGTGGAAAGGCAAGATTAGAGATTCAAGGTCCTCCTGGTGCTGTAATTGATGCGGTGTTCATGATTGAAAATTTACTGTGTGATGTGCAAGAGAATAATAGAGCCAAACAAGAGGAACTGCTGCTGTCAAAGGGTCAGTGTGGTTAAGTGAATAAAAACAAATATGAAGCGGAGAATATGTATGTGGCTTACCAATATTTAGATGAGCTTGTATTTCAGTTTGTATGTATGATGAATATACAGTAGGGTCTGATTAGTCTGTGTGCTTAGATACTATGGTAATAGGCACTGTGCAAAGCCTTGAAAGACCATGTGTTAGTTTGTTGACTTCAGTTGATTCACTGGGCAAGGTTCCAGTGGGTTGCAGTTTATTTCACTGGGCTAGCCATGCTATTTGAGGCGGACGTGACTGTGCTGCCAATCCTCACTCTGGGAGTTCCGCTAGGAAAGGCAGCCTAACGGCCCAGCCATCTGAGGCTCCCTGGGAGATGTGTTGAATCAGTGCATACCCTTGCTGAACTGGTCCTGCATACTTTGTAGGTTGCTTGCTGCCACTCCCCTCCTGCCAGCACACCTAGTGCTATCAGCGTCCCACAGATAGTTGCTCTGGTCGGAGTGAATCAGACCCTTTGACTTCAATATAGAAATTACTGAAGTCAATTAATTTATTTCAGTGGAGTTACAATAAGAATGAATTTGAAACCTGTACCAAATACTACCTCAAAGGGCAACTTCCTGTCTTTGAAATATCCCCTTTTTCCAGGTCAGTTTTATTTGGCCTGTAGTTAAAAGCCTATTAGGCAACCATTTTTCCTGGTCATTTTGATGGTCATTTAAGATGGGTTCCGTTGTATAAAAGATAGATACACAAATGCAGAGCTATATAATGGAGATGATACATCCTGTGTCTCTTCTGTTTCTGACTTTTCGTTGGTTCCTTTAGTAGAACTTGATTTAACAGGCATAATATATTCAGCAAATTTAAATGGAAGCTGTAACGTCCTTAGCAAAGTTGAATCACTTAAAGAATTTCTAGATCTGGACAGATAGTTATTTTATTTAAATGTACAAGAGTGTAAAAAGGTGCTGTAGTGTCCATATCCAAAGTTCATTGAACTCAGTAGAAGCTTTTTCACTGACTTCAGTGAGCTCTGGATCAAGCTCCAAGTGTCCTTGATGTTTTTTAAAACAGAAATCTTAAAATTAAAACTAATTTAGCAGTAAACTCATGACTTACTGGCAATAACCAGTTGACTCTTATAGCACAAAAGAATGCACAGTATCCCAGCCTCCCTCAACAGACCTCCTAAGTCATCACTGCCCTTATCAAAGGTCTCTGTAAAGGAGGAGCCTTGATTCAGATGACCCAAATAGCTTGCTTCAGAGAATATGTAACACTCTTCTTTGTTAACTAAGCAACCAAAATAAACTATTAACTTCCTCCTCCACTGACTTTGTTGCATTTAGGGTGAGTTTAACAAGCTAAAAGTCTTAAATTATTATTAAATATCCTGCTACTTGTATCCAGGCCAACTGGAAACTGATTATCCTCCAGAAAGACTCCGAGACAAGACAAGAGGTACCAAAATGCGTTACCAGATCTCTCCAGTAGAATCATACTGCCAGGAATTCAAGGACCGAGAAAAAATATTTGAAAAAGCTGGGCTTCGTGTTCTCAAGGTAAAGAGAGTATCCTTGGTAAAATGAATCTTAAGGTATCAGACATTTATAAGAACCTGGATGCAATTAATAAGGATACATTTTTTAAAAAGAACAAGATCAAAATCAGTTGGCTCCTTATAATACTTGAATGAACTTTAGTGAAATTGCAAATGAAACCTAGATTTATTGCTCAATTAAGATGACTGTTTAAAAAAGTTACAGCTGATACATCTTTTTGAGTGAATTAAATCTTCATTTACTGTTTCAGAAGGTACTATATGTTTATTTTATATTTTGCAGCCTCAAGTCCTCAGTTATAGCAAATTCTCAGGGATCAAGGGGTTTATTCTGCTCCTGATGTAGTCAGTAGTAGATTCCAGGCTCTACTTTAATCACAAAGGGAACATGAAGATGTATAGCATATACATAGAGAAATATAAGTCTCTGTAGTAGATATATTCTCTGTGGGGAGGAGGGAGCATTATCTAATGGTATAGCAGGTAACTAGAAGCCAGGACTTTTAGATTCTGTTTCTAGTTCTATCACTGACTCCCTGTATGACCTTGGTCAAGTGCATTGACATCTCTGTCTTATTGGAAGAGAGATTGAAGCAACAGGGACTATTTCATTTAGAGGGGAGATGATGCAGAGGACACATGATAAAGATATACAGAACAATGAATGGTGTAAAGAAGGTAAATCGGACACTTCTATTTACCATCTCATAATACAAGAACAATTAAATTGAAAGGCAGCTACTATAAATCTGATAAAAGAAAATTCTATTTTACACATTGCACAGTTGGCCTGTGGAATTAATTGCCACAATGTATCATTGAGGTCAAGAGCTCAGCAGGATTCAAAATAGGATTGTACAGTGCTATGGATATGAAATCATTCACAGTTCCAGTAGATAAGATTACTTAAACAAATAAACAAACAAACCCCATCCTCTGTGATGCAGAACTGTGCCTGAAAGGCACAATTCAGTCCAAAGACTTTTCTCAGTGTGGACTTGATCTTATGAGAGATTGAATAACTTTAACTCTCACTGAAGTCAGGACCCTCACAGGATACTCTCAGCCCCTGGCTGGATCAGGTCCTAACCACATACGCAACTCTCATTAACATTTATGGTTGTTACTTACATCTGTACAACACAACTCACCCATTAGAAATCACTGGAACAGGGCACAGTGGTGCTCCGATTGACTTCAATGAGAAGCACTGGGGTCATGGTACTTTTTCTCCTGAGCAATTGCACACTTTAGATATATGCAGGCTGTGCTACTGATTAGCTCAAAATGAAAAAAAAAATGCTTGTTAAACTGAAGATTGTAAATTATACTAGTGACAGCGTGTGCTTTCAGTGGTATGGATCTATAACTGTCTGTTTATACTACTCTGTTGTTGTTTATATTACAGATAGAAAAAATACATAATCCTGTTTTATCAGCTGCCTTCCAACGGATTAAAAAATGTGTAGAAGGAAAAACTGTTGGCAAGCAGATATGCCATAGATTGTACCAGCGTGTTCCCGCTCAGTTCTGTAGCTTGGTATGCAGAGCTGGATTTCAGAGAACATACTCCCCTCCACGAGGTAGTTTACTGCTTTCGTCTTTTACAATGCTGTTGAAAGATTGCAGAAACATGCCATTAATAGTGTTTATATAATTCTGCTCCAAACAATAATGTAGCCATTCGACATGTGTCAGTTTGCTAGTATTGCTCCATACAGAAGAGTAAGGACTGGACCAGTGGTTCTCAACCTGCAGCCTGCTTGCGACCCAATCAGTACGCAGCTGTGGCCCATGTGACATCCTCAGGGCCATACAGGTAGCATGAATATTGTATGAATGTGGACCACATAACCCATAGAGAGCTGCATATGCGGTCCACAATGGTAAATAGGTTTAGAATCACTGGACTGGATATTTGAATGTTTAGTATTTTCACTTGGAGTGTGCACTTGGTGATAGGAATATTTTGCTTCTTTAAATAAAACAAATAGTAGTTGATTAGTAAAGTTCAGCTTAGGTCAGAAAAATGGCACCTTCTTACACAAGAGATCTATTTTTTATATGTGTTCAGTCATATCCACTTACCTTCAGAACAATAAGATTTTACTTTACGCTTTTCACTCCTGTTCGTACAGCAGAGCCTATGCAGCTCTGGGAGAATGAGCTGGCTTCCATTCTGGTTTGTGCATCATCAACAGAATTGTTATCACAGATCTAACTGCAGAATCTTTATTACTGATGATGATGTATGAGTTAGAAAGAACCCAGCTTTACTTTCAGATCCCAGCTTGAGTGTGGCACTGACAGAAAAAAAGCCATATCTGATTCTCTATTCCATTACATTGGTTTTACACTAGTGTAAATCCACTGAAGTTGATGGCATTACAGTGGTGGAAGACTACTTAACAGAGTGGAGAATCAGGTCCAGCATCGTTTCACTTGAAAACTGAACAAATTTGATATAAAGCAATTTTATATACATACAAGGATGCATCCAGTGTTTTTGGAATATCATTTAAGAATCCTCTGGAATAAGCTTGGTGCTTTTCAAAATGTACTGTAGAAGAAGATATAGTCTTTGGACTAAGGAGTTTACAGTCTAAATAGACAGTGCGTTTCAGACAAGTGATGTAGAACAGTGGTCTCCAAACTTTTTGGATTGCGCACCCCTAGGGCCAGCTCTAGGGAAGTGCAAAAAAAAAAAGAGGAGGAGAAGAAGAGCTATTGCCGGCGTGCTGCTGAAGAATCGACGGAGCGGGGAGAGCCGAGCTGCCGCCGAAGAATCGACGGAGCGGGGAGAGCCGAGCTGCCGCCGGCGTGCCGCCGAAGAATCAAAGGTCTGGGAGTGCAGCTGCCACCATGCCAGCAGCGCTCCTTCAGTGGTGCTCCTCCTGCCGCGCACCCCCAGGGATGGTCCTGCGCACCCCCTGTGGTGTGCGCACCCCACTTTGGAGACCACTGATGAAGAAGGTGGATTTGTCATAAAGCACAGTGCAGGACTTTGGTGGTGGTGTTTGTTTATTATTTTAGCTCGCATAACAATCCACATAGCTTCTATTCTAGAAATTTTTACAGATGAAGAGAATAAGAATTTAGGCCCCAGTCCTACAAATGATAGTATGCAGCCATCTTCCTGTGTGCTATCAATTGCAGAATCAGGGCTAAGATTGTAAGATCTTCAGAAAGCAGGAGTCATGCCTTTCCGTGTTTCTGTGAAATACGTAAGATGCTTTTGGGTGCTCAGAATAATAAACGACAAAATAGGACAACATCTAAGTCTCATTTTATCTCAAAGCAAAATAAGATTTGGAAAGAATGTGTTTAGATACAGAACATTTTCAACTTTGCCTCTGTCTACTATAACAAACTATTGCTTGTCACACTACACACTGGAATCATAGTTAAATATTATGGGAGAAATTCTTCCCTTGGATACCAACATCCACAATTTCTTCAAGTGACTGCACATGTCCATTCCACTCTTGATATGCGCATGCCTAGCACATGTTTGTTGGAAACTTTTCCCCTCAGCAGTCCTTGTGGAGTGGCTGAAGCGCCCTCTGCCTCTGTGCGCCCTTTCAAGCAGGTCTAAAGAGCAGAGATGCCCCTGATCCCCCTCAGTTCCTTCTTACTGCCTATGATGGTTGCTGAATCTCTTGGTCTTACCTTAGCAAGTTCTTTCAGTATGCCTTTTTTGTGGTAGATAGTTAGTGTTAGTGATTAAGTTTTTTTGTTTAAATGTTATTTTTCAGTTTCCTTGCTTCCAGTTCTGTTTTTGGTACCAAGGAATGCCTCGGTCAAGGGGGTTCAAGCCTTATTTTTCTTGTTCCAAGCAGATGCCTGTGAGTGACCCACACTCCAGTTGTTTAAAGTGCCTGAGTGAATCTCTCATCTCAGATTGCTATCAAATTTGTAGGAACTTCAAACCTAGGACCAAAAAACTTCATTGCGCCATGACCCCCTTCTGACATCAAGAATTACTACACGACTCCAGGAGGAGGGGACAGAAGCCTGAGCCCGTCCAAGCCCCACTGCCATGGGCAGTGAGGGGAGCCCGAGCCCCACCCCTCCGGGTGCGGGGGCCAAAGCTGAAGCCCAAGGGCTTCAGCCTGAGGAGTGGGGCTATAACCTGAGCCCCAACCCACAGCTGAAGCCCTCAGGCTTCGGCCTTGGGCAGTGAGGCCTGGGCTTCAGCCTGGTGCCCCAGAAAGTCTAAGCCAGTCCTGGTGACCCCATTTGAAGTTCCAACCCACAGATTGAGAACCGCAGCCAAAGGACACCAAAAAATCTCACTCATTTTGATAGGAATATGTATTCTACAGCTGGGTTACAACTTAGAATCACCATCCAACAGGCTTTGTTAGGGCATTATGACTTTAATATCTGGGACTTAATATTAAAGTTTAAGGACAAGTTTAAGGACAAGTTTCTTTCACTGGTAGACGAAGGAGAGCTGGTGGCTAGAACATCACTCCAAGCCAGTTTGGACTTGGCTGCTAGGGTCACGGCCATTGCTATTACCATGTGCTTGTGCTCATTGCTGCAGTCTTTGGGGCTGCCCAGAAAGTCCAGCAGATAGTTCAGGTCCTGCCATTTGAAGTATCATCTCTATTTTCAGGGTAGACAGATGACAAACTTCATGGTTTAAAAGATTCCAAGGCAACTCTAAAGTTGTGGGGCATACATAAACCTGCCTCGAAAAGAAAGCACTTCCATCTGCATCAGACCCACTTATATGCTATTCTTGCACATCAACAAGAAAAATAATAGAGGTTATAGATGCAGACCACCTCTTTCTACTGCAATGGCTCCTAGCTCATCGAGGTGCCCGGGGGCTACTAAACAAACGTTTTGATGAGTTGATGGAGGACACCGTACCGGTCTCCAAAATTCCAGCCTCTCCTTTCCCTGTGTTTGCAAACCATCTATCTCACTTCCTGGGTCCTTGGTCCTCAATCATTTCAGACCAATGGGTCTTAAGCTCTGTGGAAGTGGGATACTTCAGTTTATTTCTAACCCTCCTTCCAACCCTTCCCTAGATTTCTTCAGGGACTACTGTCACTAGGGGTGCAATCTCTGCTTTGGTTGGGAGCCGTAAATGAAGTTCCTCAGTGTCATAGAGAGGTTTTATTCCCTCTGTTTCCTTATCCTGAAAGCAAAGGGAGGTCTAGATCAATTTTAGGCCTGCATAAATTCAACAGAAAAGGATAAGTTTTTTCTATTGTCTTGCCTACTTCCATTATCCCTTCCCTGTTGCCCAGAGACTGGTATGCTGCCTTTGATTTAAAGGAGGCGTACTTCCGTATGGTGATCTATCCAGGGCCACAGGAAGTATTTAAGATACCTGGTGAACCATTCTCACTTCCAGTTCAGTGCTACCCTTTGGCTTGCCTGCAGCCTCCAGAGTTTTTACAAAATGCAAGGCAGTGGTAGCTGAGTTTCTGAGGATATTGGATATGCAAGTGTATCCCTACATGGATGGTTGACTGGTGAGAGGCCAATCCAGAGTTCAGGTACTATCCAGCATTTCTCTTATCCAGTCAACTTTCAAAGCTCTGGGACTGTCAGTCAACACGGAGACATCTATCCTCTCCCCATTTCAGACGTTAGAATTCATTGGGGCACTCCTGGATTCGACTCAAGCCAGAGCTTTCCTTCCATGGTCAAGATTGCAGACAACTTAATCAGTTGTTTTAGATGTCACGGCTCACCCAACTATTACAGCATGGAATTGCATGAGGCTTCTGGGGCAGGCAGCCTCTTGCACATATGCGGTCCGACATGCCAGATTGCTCCTCAGGGAACTACAGACTTAGCTGGCCTCTATATTATCTCTGAGCTGTCGCCCTCTAAGGCTTGTGGTGAGGTTACCCTTTCAGATTTTAGCTTCTCTGGACTGGTGGACAAATCCTGTAAACATGTGTATGTTTGTTCTGTCTCAGCCTTTCCTGATGTTAGTGATAGATGTGTCTGCTCTGGGTTGGGGGGGGGCTAATCTAGGTTCCCTTCAGATGCAGGGATTATGGTCCACAAAGGACTTGTCTCTACACACAGATGTCAGGAGGTTGAGAGCTGTCTGCCTGGCATGTCAAGGTTTCTTACTCCGTATCAAGGGTAAAAGCCTGCATGTATTCTAACAGACAACACAATGACAATGTCCTGTCTCAACAGACAGGGAGGGGCTCGCTCATTCCAGCTCTGCCACAAGACAGTCAAACTCTGGGATTTTTGTACTGCCAGTTTGAGAAACCTCACAGCCTCTTACCTTTCAAGGGTGCAGAATGAACTTGCATGCAACCTAAGCAGATTGTTTGTGTCACCCCAGATGGTCTCTATGTCCGAATGTAGCCAGGTGCGTTTTCCAGCTGTGGGGGACTCCCCAGGTAGAGTTTGCAGCAAGAACCAAGAGGAAGTGCTGGCCCTTTAGCTTTCTTCAAGGCAGGGGTGGCCAACCTGTGGCTCCGGAGCCACATGCGGCTCTTCAGAAGTTAATATGTGGCTCCTTGTATAGGCACCGACTCCGGGGCTGGAGCTACGGGCGCCAACTTTCCAGTGTACCAGGGGGTGCTCACAGCTCAACCCCTGCCTCTGCGACAGGCCCTGCCCACACTCCTCCCCTGAGCCTGCCGTGCCCTCGCTCTCCCCCCCACAGCCTCCTGCATGCCACAAAACAGCTGATCGGGAGGTGTGGGGAGGGCTGATGGTGAACGGGAGGTGCTGGGAGTGGGGCGGGGGGGGACGGGACCTGATGTGGGGGTTGCCGACGTATTACTGTGGCTCTTTGGCGATGTACACTGGTAAATTCTGGTTCCTTCTCAGGCTCAGGTTGGCCACCCCGCTTCAAGGTCACAGTCAAAGTTCCGTAATGGACATTTTCCTGGACAAGCAAACTCCAGTATTCTTTCCCACCAATCCCACTTCTTCACAGAATTTTGCTAAAAATTAGACAGGAACGTGCTCAACTCATATTTGTAATTCCAGGTTGGCCTCGGGAGCACTGGTTCTCCACATTCCTCTCCTTTTTGGTAAAAGCTCTGATACTGCTTCCATTGGACCCAAACGTGATTTCTCAAGACCATGGTCACCTACTCCACCCAAACTTGCAGGCACTTCATTTAACAGCCTACATGTTTCATGGATAGATCATTGGGAAGAGTCTTGTTCCAAAGATGACAGGTTTCAGAGTAACAGCCATGTTATTCTGTATTCGCAAAAAGAAAAGGAGTACTTGTGGCACCTTAGAGACTAACCAATTTATTTGAGCATAAGCTTTCGTGAGCTACAGCTCACTTCATCGCGAAAGCTTATGCTCAAATAAATTGGTTAGTCTCTAAGGTGCCACAAGTACTCCTTTTCTTTTTGTTCAGAGAGGTTCAGGATGTGCTCTTAAATAGTAGGAAGCCATCTACTAACTCTGTTTACTTGGTGAAGTGGAAATGATTCTCTGTCTGGTCCAGACAATCTGGAGTCTTGCTGACACACTCTTCATTCCAGCATATACCAGGGTCCCAGAGCCCAGCACCAGGCCAAGCCCATACGTCTACACTGCAATTTTATAGTCCCGCAGCCTGAGCCCTGCGAGCCAGAGGCAGCTGACATGCGTCAGCAGCACGTCTTTTTTATTGCAGTGTAGACCTACCCCAGGTGGAATGTACATGTGTAATCACTTGAAGAAGAAAAAACAGTTACTAACCTGTTCCATAACTGCTGTTCTTAGAGAAGTGTTGCACATGTCAACTCCATGACTCGCCCTCCTACCCCCCTGCATCGGCGTTTCTGGCATGAATGAACTGAGAGGGGTTAGGGTGGCTCCACTCTTTATGACGGTCACAAGGCTATGTAGTGGCAGATGGTGCTCAAGCTGCTCTAACGGATACTACGGAGGGAAAAAGTTTCCGACAGCAGTGCACAGGACATGCATACTCCAAGAATGGAATGGACATGTGCATCACAACTAGAAGAACAATAGTTATGGAACAGTTTAGTAACCCTTTGTTCCCTGAAGTCAGTGGGAATTGTATGCAGGTATCTGAGGGCAGAATATGTACATCAGCATCTAGAACAGAGAAAAGTATCAGCAGACGTTTCTTTCTTCAGTTTTTTTGACCAACATAGGAGCATTGTGAAAGGTAATAGGAAATGCAATCCAGAATTGAGAGGCATCTCTAATCTTTAGGGCTGGAGCCATGAGAAAAAAATGTCACCCTATTAAGAGAGACACATTGTGGGTGAGGTAGTGTCTTTTATTGGACCAACTTCTGTTGGCGAAAGAGACAAGCTTTGAACCCACAGAGAGCTCTTCTTGAGGTCTGGGTGGTGAAAGAGCAAGCTGAAGAAGAGCTGTGTGGCTCGAAAGCTTGTCTCTTTCACCAACAGAAGTTGGTCCAATGAAAGATATTGCCTCACCCACCTTGTCTCACATATCTTGGGAGCAACATGGCTACAACACTGCAAACCCTAATAAAACTCATTCTTTGGAGTCTACTGTTTTCATTTTTTGTTTTTTTTATTTCCAGAACAAAAATATGGAGCTGGCATCTACTTTATCAGGAACCCCAGAAATCTAGTGGAGGATACCAAGGAAAAGTGTGAATTGGACCATCTAATTTGTGTGTTTGAGGCTGAGGTAGTAACAGGCTTATACACTGAGGGCAAACAGTCTTATATTGTGCCACCAGCAGTTGATGCAGATGGCATGAATGTATATGACAGTGTAGTAGATGATGTTCACAGCCCTGAAACCTTTGTCATTTTTAACAGTAATCAGGCCGTTCCTCACTATATATTGACATGTTCCCAGATTTGGGCTGAGGGGTCAGGGCCTTACTGGGCAACCAGGGGCCCAGTAGATGAGAGCTCATCAGAACCATGGGACTTAGGCATTCCCCAGGACCGTGGGCACAGAGCCTCCCCCATAACAAAGAGTACAGAGAGCTTCCTGCTAGAACCCAAATAGTAGCATATCTGACTCTAGTACAGTAGTGTGGTGATGGTGCCTCACCTAACCATCTTGACACATCCATGTTGGTATATACAAGAGCTTAACCAGTATGATAACCTAAGAAAGTTAAAACTATATATAATTTTATATTGGAAGAGGTATTAGATACAGAATTCAGTTCACCATTCCTGTGGTGGTTACAATACACAGCTTCAAAAATATGCAGAAATTTTATTTTTCTATAAATAGCCACAGTATGCACACTATGCATTTTATTTTACTAAGGCACCAGAGATGAGTAAATATATATTTAGTCACAGAAATGTCTGTTTTATAAAAACCTGAAACTATTTTATAAACTTAAAAATCACACATTAGCAAAAACCATCTAGTCCAAAGTAATCCATTGAGATTAAAACATGTATTTAGACTGTTCATTTAGTTGATTTTTAATTCTGCTTTCACTTATTTAGCTAACCATCTACCATGTGTTTCAACAACAGCTGTGTCATTATCTTTGGAAGTGTTATTTTATAAATAAGTTTTCATGCTTATAAAAAATAAATGTATTTGCGGTGTTAGTAGCGATAATTGTGTTGCTATAATCATTTTTATTAGCTGTACAAGGTGCCAACCGCTACAGGAAACATGTTTGAGAAATAAAAAAATTGCATGACCAAAAATAAACCAAACTGTTGACGTGTTCTGATTTTTCTCCTCTTAACAGTACATTAAGGCTCCTGACTTTGACAGTCAAACTTCAGTTAGCTATCACTATGTGTTCAACATAGTCTTCTATGAAAGATTTTTATGAAAAAATAAAGCATAGTTCTGAACCTGGGACTAGCCATCATCGGGGGCCAATTGGTTTTAGGGGGGTTATGATCTTGCTTTATGGCTAGCTGGCAGGGGCCTGTGGCCTGAAACTTTTTCATTGTAATTTGCAGTCATAGTATGGAAAAGGCTGTGAACTGAATTATTAAAAAAACCAAAAAAACAGCTTAGCCATGTCCTCAGATACTTGCAAAATTGTCTCTTAGTAAAGGCTTAAACCCCTCCAGGTCATTTTAACGGAGCTAGAAGTACAAGTCCTGGGTGTGAGACTGTTGCCAGAATGGGACTTGAACTGAGGGCCCAAAGGAAAAGGCTACTCGGTGAATCAAATCTCAAGCACTGGTTTGCATTCATGTTTTTCTTTAAAACAAAGACTGTGTAGTCTGCAACATTTATAACATCCCCAGATTCTGCTGTTAGTTACACCTGAGCAACCCATTAACTTCAATGCACTCACTGATAAACGTAAAAGTAGAACTTGGCCCATCCTCTATTGCCTGACCAGTTATGACCACCAAGAACTACATATATGTTTACTAGGACATTTTAATTTAAAATTGGTTTATATACCTGCTGACCAAAAAAATATCAACTTTTAAAAACAGCTTGTGATGCCGTAATAGTTCAGCAACAGTCAAAGGGATTATCATCTAATATAAAGTCTGCTTCTGGCCTGAAAAGAAACAAGTACCTACCGCCAGAAAGGATTTTTATCTTTGTTACAGTTTAATACAACAAAACAGGGTGTGGAACAACAGGCATCCTACTCATAACTATGGCAATGCATTAGACACAGTCTGAAACCTAAAGTATAAGATGTCAATGCTTTATAAAGCTATTGTCTCACAAAAGGACTTCAGTACATACTACGGTAACTCCTCGTTTAATATTGTAGTTATGTTCCTGAAAAATGTGACTTTAAGTGAAATGATGTTAAACAAATCCAATTTCCCCATAAGAATTAATGTAAATAGCGGGGGTTAGGTTCCAGGGAAATTTTTTTCACCAGATAAAAGACTTATACACACACACACAGAGTATAAGTTTTAAACAAATAATGTAATACGATACACAGCAATGACGATTGTGAGGCTTGGTTGAGGTGGTCAAGTCAGAGGGTGGGCTATTTTCCAGTGAATGCCTTACGCTAAATGAACTAGCACTGGGCTGAGCCCTCAAGGGTTAACACATTGTTAATGTAGACTCACACTCTACAAGGCAGTTAGAATAGAGGGAGGGGAGACAGCATGGCAGACAGACACCCTCCCCCCCCTTTAAGTGCGCTGACCCTACTAAGTACATTGCTGATTTAAGTAGATCAGGAAGTTGACAGCAGCTGCTGCAAGCAAGCTCCCTCCCCATGTGTCATCTCCCCTCCCCCCCCACTCTATAGAGATGAGGTAAGCGGGAGATCGGAGCAGGGGGGAAGAGAGACACCCTGACATTAGGCCCCTTCTCCCCCCAATAGCAAGCAGGAGGCTCGCAGGAGCAGCACCTGGCAGTGGGAGGAGGGACAGCTGAACTGTCAGCAATTGGTAGCCTGCTGGGAAGCTGCCGCACACAGAACTTAGGGGAGCAGAGAGTTGATGAGGGGCTGCCTGTCCACGCTGGTTCCAAGCCCCCCATCAGCTAGGTGCAACGGGCTGCTCTTTCTGCAAGCAGCGGACAAAGCAGGCAGCTGCCAAATGTTATAAAGGGAGCATTGCACAACTTTAAACGAGCATGTTCTCTGATTAGCAATATAACAATGTTAACAGGTATAACTAAGTGAGGAGTTACTGTATTCCCTTGTTCACACATCAATGTAGGTTTAAGTTTTGCTTAGCTAGATGATGGATTGGAAGGGGCTTTCATAGTACTGTCAGTTTTCATCAAAATATTTTATTTAAAAAGTGTCTTGGCACCACAGTGAATTTTTAAAAGTAAATAGTTACTTCGAATGCAGAAGCTATTTAGTCATTACAGCAGTTTTAATGTACAGATGTTAGACAAACTAGTGCGATGTCCATTCCCTTTTTTTGTACAGTACCTTCCTCTCCCCCTTTACTCTTAATAAGAGTCGTATATATTAGCATAGGTGCTGTAAATATGGAATATCTAAATTTTCAATATTTTGTTTTATTAACTTCAGCAATTACATAGCTATTTATTTTCCTAACTGCAACCATAGGAATTTTAAAGTGACATTAGCATGTTACAAGAAATATTTTATCAATAAAAAAATAGGAGCTCAGAGCTGGGTGTACTATTGTAAAAACTGTGCAGAGCAGCTGAATGTAGAACATGAAAAGAAACAACCACATGTTAAAACACTTCTCAAAATTCAATATTACACTGCTTATTTATTTTGCATTTTATTATTGTAACAAAGATTTCCTTGTAAACAATTCCTACTTAAGTCCACCTTCCCCTCCTTATACTTAGTGTTATATATTTATATAGTTTACAAAAGAACTGGTAATATCTGAGGCTGTACATAATTGGATATTTTCATCTGGTCCTCAAAAAGATTATAATAATTTCATATACAGTAACCAGAAAATAAAAAGCACAAACTAAATGTACCTGGAAGTACATATTAAAATCATTAAATTACCACAGTAATTGAAAATCCCTGATCTTTATTTCTATAACAGATTAACTCCAGGCTACTCCAAAACCTCTGGGATTTCTCTGTCATCTACAATAAGAGTATGAATGATTCCTTCCCTTCGCTTTCCACTACTGACAGCCTTAATGCAACAGTCATGATCACCAACACTGAAGTGTGTTTCTGTTCCATCTTCTACAAATTCACCCTGTGGTCGGGAAACAAAATATCATGAAAAGGAACAATATGGTTGGCTAACAAAGTCCTGCCGTGTTCATAAGGCATCTATTATCGGATTTTCAGAGGTGTGGTGCACCTGCAGCTCCAGTAATTAGAAGAAACCTGATAGGTATTTTGGTGGCTGAAAAATCACTGCATTTGATTATGCAGCAGTTTTGATTTATTTATGTACATGTGTTACAATCAGGCGGTGGTCAAAAAAAGACAAGTTTTGTAAAATATTGAGTTTTGTGACATTTGAAAAATTTCTTCTAGCACTGTGACTGATAAAGTTAATTAAAACAGGCCAAATTCGGTTCTGGTGTAATTCTACTTGAAGTCAATTAACTTGCACTGGTTTCCACCATAGCTGAATTTGGCCATAAATTAATTCAAAGGACTTAAATAAGATCTTTAACACAAGGCTTACAGGGTCTATATGGTTTAAATGGAACTTAAGTTGTGCAAAAGGCTTCATGTGTGCCCTGAATTAACAACAACAACTCTGGAGTATGTTTGTACTGCAGATGCTTAAAGAATTCCAGGTGTGTACCTCCTGTTTTGGATTATGCCATCTTGGCCAAATTGAGTTTAAGTCTATCTTCTGATACAATAAGAGGCCAGAATGCTGTTCTAACATATAAGCACAGTTTGGCAGGCAATCATGCAGGCACACTACCTGCAGGAGTTAATAGGTTAAGAACCCATGCACTAGAAATAGTGCATTGGTTCTCAATCTAGAAGTTGCAAACAGGTTTCAGGGGGGCTCAACCACTCCCCCCACCCCTTCCTTTGTGCCTAGTTAGATGGGAGGGGAATCCCAAACCTTTTTTCTGTTATAATGGGGAATGACAGTATGGAAATATTTGAGAATGCTTGGAGTAGTAAATCAGAATTTGTGCTCCAGGGGAAGCAGAAGGTTGTACTGTTAACAGTTTCTGGAAGAAGAATTCTTGGGAACGTGGTGAAAAATAGTTTCAAAGTATAGCAAAACGAAGACCTCATTTCCCTACCCTGTCTAATTTAATACAATAGGACTACTCATGACAGTAACAGATGCAGGATCAAATGTCTGGTGAGGAAATAGGTTTTGCAGTCCTTCTGCATAGGGAAAGCTTCAGAAAATATATTTTTTTCCTTTTTACTCTAATTTTCAGTAATGGTAAGATTACCAAAATGACGGACTGAGAAAATCTTCTTATCCACAGGAATAGGTACAACATGACAAACTTCCCTACACTGTTCAGTCAAGAGGCCTAAACACTGAACTGGAGGGACCATATAGAGGCATGAAAAAGTAATTTGATTTTTATGCCACTCTGAACATCAGGCCTTAAATGTTTAACATTGTTACTACTGACCTGGATAGATTTGAATTGGCTAGCTCTATAATCCACAGGGCAATTTAGTCGGCTCCCTATTCCTCCTCCCCAAAATACTTTACTTAAAAGGCCCACAGGTATTTGCCTATAGTATCTGAATTATTTCACTGATACATAACGTCAATATTAGTGTTCTAACGGTGGTGTGTTTTATTTCAGTTGTTAAATCAGAATAAGTATAACAAACAAAAGCCTTTGTAAATGATCACATACCGCTGTTTCCATTTTTTTACCATTGCACCAGACATCCATAGTGTCCTTCTCTGTAAAAATGAGAAAAACAAAAGATGCATACCTCTTTATAGACCGAAAAGATATAGAAATTCCAAATGTTTGCCATGAAATTTTAGCTATAACTCCATAAATGTGTTCCAAATAAATAGTAATATCTGAATTACAAAGTTTGTCTCCATAAGGAGAGAGGCTCTCTCATAAGGTTGCAACTAGCTTCTTTTAGAGAGCCCGATTTTTGCCTCCAAAAAATGGTTTAATCAATGTGATTTTTCTGAAACCAAAAAATGTTGTTTCTGCAAAGTTTGAAAAAAAATTAATGATTTTTGAGTTACTGACTGTAAGTAAGTTACCATGATTTGCAAGTCTGACTTTTGCCTAACTTTTTTGGGGGGGGATGTCCCTCTAACTAATACACAGCTTGTTAATTACCGTT